CCCCTCGACGACGACGGCGGCGGCCGCGCCGGCAGGGGGCACGGAGCACGCGGAGTCCACGGCGGAGATGGCGGCCCTGCTCGTTCGCAACCTCACGCATCTTTTCCTGTGGTTGGAATGCAGCCCGCATCGCGGGGAAACGCCCAGAGGGGGGGACGCGAACGAACCCCGGGAAGGCGAAGGCGGCCCAATCCCCCCGCATCGCTCCCTCCGCGAGGACCCACGCATCCTGCACGGCCTCCTCCACGCCACCCGGCAGGTCGCGGGGATGATCGAATCGTGGGGGGAGGTCGCCGCCACGGGCGCCCGCCCGCCCTCCTCAGGCTGCGTCGAGAGTTACCTCCTCGCCTTTCACGCGTTGATTTACCTCCTGCAGTTTTTGGTGCTCCCCGCCGCGAACGAATCCGGCGGGGCGACGTCGGGATATTTGGAGTACCTCCGCTCCATCCCCCTCGCGGCGATCGCGGAGGGGCTCGCGTGCTGTCAGACGGCGATCTACGGGGTGGCGATGCCTCGCGGAGGGGGGCTGGCAACGGCCGACCCCGATCTCTCCCTCCTCCCGCGAGGGGAGGAGGGATGGCGCGAAGGGGGGGCCTCTCCGAGCGCGCCGCTGGCGATCCCCCACACGAGGGGCGTCTCGTTTGATGAAAATGGCGAGCGAAATGGGTGGGGAGGGCCGCTAGCCGTCGTCGGCGATGGCGGCTGGCAGGATGGCGAGGACATTGAATATCTCATCCGGGCGATCAAAATCACGATCGCCAACGCCCTTCGCACGGTAAATCACGCCACCGAGCTGGTTAAAAATGCCCGGTGAAGGCGTGCGCATCGGCCTCACCGTTTGTCGGATATCGCTATTAAAGGCGGGATTTGGTTCAGAAAGGATAGACCCGTGGGCGACGTGCACGCCATCTGACATTGGTGGAGGCAACCAACCATCGAAAAGGCATAACTACAAAAAAAAAAAGACCCCATGATTCTTGGCTGGATATTGGGAAAATGATTTGGGAGTCGGGGAGTGGCATTTTTTTTTCGCCCATACACCCGCATGTTCCCATCGGAATAGATTTTTGTATACACTTCGAAGAGCCCGTGTGCTGGGTTGATTAAATAGTTCTGTCGTGAATTAAACTACTGTAAGAATAAGTTTGGGATAGGAAACAAGAATGGAGAATAAAAATCGATCTGTAGGATCTCTTAACAAACATGTACGCGTGTATTGACGCAACAGTGGGGAGAAAAATGACTATTCAGATGGCGAGGATAACGGTATGTTCTTAGAGCATTAAAAAATCTATGGAGAAATCCACTAATAAAGATGTTTATATTTCATCTTTTTTGTTGTTGTTTGCGCTTATCAGTTCCTATTTGCACGACATCAACTATGCTTTGTGGATTTTTTCGTGGGTTGTGAAAAATTATCCTCCTCCGTCGGTGTTCCAATTCCTTCCTCAAGAACTTCCATAAGGTGTCAATTCTATAAGCCATCCACACAAAACAGAACAAAGGAAACCGAATCCACTGAAAGCGAAGTCATTACCTTAAAGCAAATGCCGAACATTACACAAGAAGCCATTGACCTAGTGCGTCAGCTGCACAAGCTCAAAAAGGAGCTGAATCCCGTCAAAACCGCCCTGAGCACGGTCAAAAAGCGCGAGCAGGATAAACCCAATCCTCAAGCAGCAGCAGCCTCTTTAATGAAGATCGCCGTTCGCGTGCACGAGGTTCAAAAGAAATACACCCCCTTCATGGATCGCCTCGATCAGCTTCTCGAGGTGGATCTCCCTAACTTCCTCGTCCAGACGCCCGTCCTCGCGGCGCTCAAAAGCCATCCCAACCAACTCGACGAGGATATCACGAAGACGTACTCCCAACGCGAGGCGCAGGAAAAACAGGAGGAAACCCCCATGAGATCCTCCTCTTTAGCGGCCTCCCTTAATCCCCCAAGAGGTCCTCCGCAAAGCATCGTGGAAGGGCCTTCTGCCGGGTCCATGTTGGATTCCGTTTGCCCCCCCCATCTCCCATATGTCGTGCCCCCGGAGTATTACAAGCACCATCAGGATCGTCTTCGGATGCGGGCGGAAGTCGTGCATTATTTAATCGCCACCGGCCGATCTGGACTGGCGAAGCACGTCGCCGAGAGCTACGGCCTCCCGCTGATGTGGTTTCCCTCCCTCTACGCTGAGGCGTATCTCGCGAGCGGGACGGAGAAGCGAGGTGGGGAAGGGGAAAAAGGAGGGGGCGGGGGGGGGGGCGTTCGTGTAGGAGGGGCCCCACGGCCCTCGGTCTCGCCCGTGGCGTTGCCGTCGTCGCCGCAGCCGTCCTCCGTCTTCTCCGCCTCCCTCGCGA